GGACTTAGCTGCAAAAAACTAACCACTTCAAAAGCCTATTACACAATTTTTTAAAGGCTCAAATATGCACAATAGTGTCTTATGTTTTACTGAACACTGTACACATGTTGCTGAAAATTAAAATCAAAACAGTGCTTGAACAGGAACAATTTTTTCAATTCATCTGTCTTTTAGACCCTTCACTGTACCTATAAAAGAAAATATATATCTTATATAGGCCTACTAAAAAACTTTTGCAAAACTTATGACAGCCTGACCATACTACTGGACCGAATTACACGCCGTTGGTACCATATAAGAGATATTTTTCTGTAGAAGTGCAGAATCCCTTTATAAATCAAAATAGGCTTGAAAATAAGCACAAAAAACGAATTTGAAATTAAATAAATTAACATGGGCCTTATGGGTTATGGGGTTTATGGGTTGGTAACGTAATAACAACAAAATATAAACAGAAAATCAAAACAAATGGAAGAAATTCCAATCACACATGTTTTTATTTACAGCGTGGGGTGAAAATAGAGAAGATTGTACAATACATACTTTTGGTCGAGTTTTCCACCAAGAAAACTTTTTTTGCAAGCTCTCGTATATAATTAAAACAGGTTTTTACACAAAGAGTGTGTGCTGGCCCTTTTTTAAGGTAGTTTTGATGATCCGGATGGAATCAGTTCCCAATTAATCTGGATTATTGACATTTTGATTTTACTGTACTTCCCACGGTCTTGTGGCTTAATTAAGGCTAAACATCCCAGGTTTAGTTCCAAATTCTGCCACCACGTCGCAGCACCAAAATGGAGTCATTTTGTGTTGGTGTTTATTGGTGGAATTTTCATCCGATTTTCATTTTGAAAACTGATTTGTGAACCGGATAAGATAACAATTCACGCCATTGAAGATAAATTTGAATTAAGTTGCTGGTTAAAAAAATTATGGTAAAATAATTGTGTTACAAAATGAAAAATGAAAATTGCAGGTAGTCATTTTAAAGACGATAATTTTTAATTAATTTTGCTTTTTAAATTTTGAAAATCGCTTGGCTGGTTCAGTCGGTATCGTTGTTTAAACATTTACAGTAATTATAACAAACGCAAGAGAGACATGAAGCAGGTGCAGGACAGGGCCGCTGTGACTCATTCCAAGGTCACACTCACATTTGCTACCCCTCCCCCCCCCACAACAAGACTGGGGTGTTGCTTGTACACCGGTGGATGACGGTTTCCCGCGCTTCCATACACGAACAAATACTGAATTGAATTAGGGGTTTTGCTACGCTTTAACCAAAACAAATTGCAAACAAAATAATTATTTAAAAGTTTTGATAGTGTCATCAAATTTTTAATTTTACGATTATCGTATTTAGGCCTAATCATACTGTAAAATTTGTGTAAATCCGTTGGCAAATATATAAATCTATATAAATAATATTACAGTTTTGTCTGTACATTGCTTAGAATCATGCAGGTGTTGGTTATTTTTACGTTTCATAACACAAGAAAGCCGAAACGAGTCTTATCTCAATTTCTGTCTGTCTGTTTGTCTATTATAAGCCAAAATGTCATTTTGCGCGGCCTACTCCTAGAAAACCAAAGTTCCGATCAAGGTTCTAATAATTTTTCCGTATTTACTGGATTGATGAGAGTGGCTTTGGCTATAAAAACATGGCCTCGCTTCTTTGAAAACAAAATAACGAACCATCAAAAACCCAATTTGGTTCGAATTTTGTCAAATTTTCTCCCAATATTTACTATTACATTTTATGAAATAACGATCAGCTGTTTGGATTAGTTCTCACTTCTAGCTGTCACTGATATGTTTACATTAAAAGTTGTTTACAAATACCGCAACCATTTCTGATCAAGTTTTGTTAGCACATCCAAACCAAGTTAGATTAAAAACGTTGTGCGGCCTTGGTTGTGCCTTACTGTCACTGGTGCAGCTGGTACTGCAGTCGTTGGACGATCGTCGCCGCACGATTATAGCTCGGCGATAATCGTTGCAGTAGGCTCCGTTGAAAAGTAGGCTCTCACTGGTGCGATTATTATACAATCGTTCTGTTAAAATTCTTGACTGTTGCCGAGTTGAAGTAGGGATAGTGAATTACTGTATTAGTTTATAGGCTTTAACAAAATACTATTCATTTATTTGCTGGTTGAAGATCTAGAAGATGGACAATTTTTGGAAGTGATAAGTGTTCAAAGACTTAAGCACACATTCACACATAGTATAATTACAAAACGAACAGAAGAGGGGTACTTCAAAATATTAATAAAATAAACAATAATTTCCAAGCTGATGGGAGAATGTTATCTGAATTCTTCAGACTTTCAAAATCTCATAGGCCCGGCGCATATTGAGACGCAGTCGGAGCAGCGCAGCGTAGTGCAGCGCAGTCCCGCACGTGGACTGCGCGCACTTGTGGTCGAGTCACAAGTGTCTGTGCCGCATTGCTCACCTGCGCCGGGTTGACTAGTGTTTTGTGACGGATCTAGAGGATAATTAATAAAAATTGTGCGTTTTTATCCAGTTTTTACGTTACCAGTCATGGTTAGTATACAAAGAGTAATTACAAGAATTAAATCTGGGAGAAAATACGAAAATCACTAAACATTGCAATTTTTTTTCGCCCTTTCTTTCTTGTTCTCTGGTGAAGAAGTAACAATAAATCTAGATCAGCACCTGAATCTGATTCAGAACTCAAATCCTAATATTTAACAACATGTTCACACAAGAAACTGTGTCACTCCTATACGAGAACTGTACGACACTGCTTCCCAATATGCGATGTCAACTGTGCAACACAAACTTTTTGCCCAATTCTGCCCTGTGCTGTGCTGCACTGCCCGGACCGTGCCGCACAGCTCAATATGCGCCTGGGCTAAGTTTTTGTATAGTTTGATCAATGAGCATTTTTACTTTAAAACTACATTCCCTATCCAATCACAGGAGATGAGAAGTTTGATCTTACGTTAAGGTAGGATAGTTTATTTATAAACGTTAGATTTTTTTACTAAGCTAATAAACTAATACAATGCTTTGGTATTATGTTTTCCTTTTTCAGAATAAAACATGTTCATTATAAAAAATAGTAATACCCCAGTTGCTGGAAACCTGTGTACTCGTGGACTTTCCAATTCATTTATGTGTGTCTTAATACTACCACATAAAGCCATTAACCAAGTATCATCAAATGCATTAACAATTAAGCTATATATAACATTTTAATTATTCTCCATAAGAATAAGATTGGGGCTGAGTACACTCGAGGCTCTTACTCGAGAAAAAGCTGTGAATGCCTCAAAAATCTTCCAACGACTGCGACTCTACTGCTCCAGGAGCAGACCCGTACGGTGGACGTCTACGACTAGGTACGGTACGACTGCGGCTACAGACGCGTCATTGACAACAGTGCCATTGAAAACAATGCTAAGCTGGCTCTCTACGATTATCGTTCAACGGCTGTGTGCAGTTCCAGCCGCAAACACTTATATATTTGCCAACGGATTTACACCAATTTTACAGTTTGATTGGGCCTAAAAACGATTATGATAAAATTTGATGACACTATCAAAAATTTCAAATAATTACTTTGTTTGTAATTTGCTTTGGTTAAAGCGTAGCAAATCCCCTAATTCAATTCTGTATTTTTGTTTGTATGTCTGTTGGTATCGCATTAATGTCCTTATTTCTCATTGTTTCGTGGAAAAGACAAGAGCACCTTTGTTAATGAAAATTTCAACCCGAATAAAGTGTGCAATAGTGAGGTTGAGGTAGTATTTTAACTACTTTTAACCTGTGTGAAAAGTAACTTTCAATTACAGGCCTTCTTTTAATGCAAAATGCACACTAAATATGCAAACCAACTCCTGTTCAGAATATAAGGTTTCAACTTACTACAAGATTCCCGTAGGCCCTACGTAGAACGGGCAAACAGCTAGTAAGTAAATAAATGCACAGTCCACAAAACATTGATACGTTAACAACGTAAAGCTTTAAAAATTCATGATGGTTTGCTATAAATATATTTCACTAATGTTTTATCATTTTCATAGCATAAGCTATTATTTTTGAGTCCATAAAGAAAACGTAAAACTTAGAGTGCGAGAGTGTTTTGCGCCAACTCTCGCAATGCTGTTTTAGCGCTAACACAGCTCGCTATTTTAGTCATCGGAATGAGCATTCTCAGTTAAAGAAATAACATTTATGATTACTGTAATATTAATTGCCTGACACAAGTATTCGATTTTTATATATTACTGATAGGCTTTATTCATAGGCTTTCTTAGGCTATGAAACGTAAAAATAACCAAAAACTCCATGATTCTAAGCAATGTACAGGTAAAATTCAATTTTATTTGAATAGATGTCTCTTTCCGACTTACAGAAAATACTTGTTTTTAAATCATAAACTAGTATCTGTTAAAATCAGGAGTCCAGTCTAGTTAGTGTGTCCGGTCAGAGTATGAATGCGAGGTGTGTGTGAGATGACGAAGCTACAGTCGCGTTGCAGGGCCGGGCAGAGCGGCTGGCACTGGAGCTGCGCTATGCGGTGGGGGGAGGGGGAGGGGACCGGAGCGCGAGAGAAATAATGATAATTTCTTTAAAAAAGGATTCCGATGCAACCATTTGGCCGAATTAATATTTGAAAACGGCAAAATTCTTTTAAAATTTTTCTTTACAAAATGACTACCTGCGATTTAAAAAAATAATTACAGAAAAAAAAATTCTTTATAAAACTTTTTTGTAAATAAATTTTAAAAAACATTAGCAAAATAGCGTAAATGTCTTTATCATATCATTTACAAAACCGTTTACAAAACAAAAATCTGATAATAAATACGGAAATTATAAGTGGTACAAATTTGCCGCAGAGGTGCTGCTATCTATCGGGCCAGAAACACAACTTTTTCAGGGATGTTTAGCCTTAATATACTGTATGTACTATTATCAATTAGCATAAAAGTTATAGTAGTTGTATAGACAAACAGTTTTAGGCCTACCTTGTGAAGTACTATCTTGGAATAATTTCTTCTGCAGAGCTCTCTTCCTGCTTCAACCACTTCTCACTCTTCTCAGCACTTACAATTATGAACAACTCCTTTTCTTTGCTGTCTAGCTGCTCTCGTAAGTAATCCAGAAGTTCCCGATCCTAAAAAATCATCGAAAATAGTATTAAATCCAGAGTGTGCTGCTGCTACAGAACAAGGCTCGAAGGCTCTAAGATTGATAAAATCTCTGGCCCAACCGACCACTGTTTGATAATAAAGAAAGAAGAAAGACCATTTTATTAAAGAAGATTTTGTAGTAATATATTTGGTATTATCATTTACAGAATACTAAATTTATTTTCAACGAATACTATAAATCGAATTTGAATTGATATTAAATGTAAGTTTTCAAAGTAGGAAAGCGAATTAGACAGGAGTCGGCAGGCCGGCAAAGACCTGTTGGCTGTAGCGCCGGCGCACTGCCTGCACGTTTGTTCCTGCTGGCTGCGACGCATGCGCCTAGGAACGTCGATCCAAACAAAACTGCCTTGAAGCCCTTGGCAGTTCAGTTCATCTTACGATTGGGAAGTTAGTAGCATTTGAATAACGAGTTTTACGAGTGGAGTGATTGTGAAATTGTGTCTTGTTTTATTGGATTAGTACCAGGATACAAGGTATTGTTTCGACTTATTTACTTAGTAAACCACTGTGAATTTGTGAATTTATTATTTAAACTTCAACAACTTAACTTTATTTTGATATAATACCGTCCATAAATATGTTACGGAGATATTTTATTTCGTAAATAATAATTGTATTATCTTATATTCTCATATCTTAGACTAGTGGTATTTTAATTTTGAATTGTATAGAAGAAATATTATTTTGATTCTTTTTAATTAAATATTCCTTGGGGTCATGCTATTTTCTTCTGAGCAAGAACTATAATTCCTATCAATCCAAAAACCTTCTTGAGATAGCTTGTATTCCAACCACAGGTCGTCCATACCTCCTTCGTTCCCTAAAATTCGTATTAAAACAGTAAATTATATTAATCTTGTCTTTTAAATTTATAAAATTTAAATATTTGAGATTGATTAAGTGATTATTTTTTATTTCTACAGCAGACTAATAGATACATAACGAGAGGGTAACGTTAAGTTGGTTCACGTCTTAATACGACTAAACAAATCAAGTTAGTATAGTACCTAGGCTACGAAGGGCTACCTTGTGACATTTCCTTGGGAACTCATTCATTCCAACCGGGTGAGTTCCACCAACCAACAACAACCCAACCAACAATAACTTACTTGGGACAACCCGTGCAAATTCCACGGGTGGTCCACCCACGATCCATTCTCACCAATATTGCAAGCTAGTTCCGTAGTTTCATTTGGTATCTGATCATTTACTAAAGTATAGTTTTTATCTTTTTCCTTTCTACCGAAGTTGATTATCATTAGGTTCGACCTTAGAATATTATAGGAGTAGACACTCCGAGGACGAGATATTTTGATCTTATTTTTCAACTTGTGTTATATCAGCATCGTTTGTCTAGTTTTATATTAGCTTTAAAACTGCTAGTTGAGTATCAAAATTTATTTTGGGGCATTGCTTGCTTAGTTTGAAACATGTTTGTAGGGTAGTAAGCTTAGAAGCTCTGTTGACAATAGTGTTTGATATTTGTTTGATCTGTATTTTCTCTGTATTCTACTCTATAGCTTGAATGTATAAAACCCATTGCACCTTTTATTAACCCCACTTTGCGATACACCCAACACCTTTCTGACGTACGTAGCTAAAAATCACTTAACTAACAGACACCTATTACTACCGAACAGATCATCCTTGTGGACAACCAAACTCCCTTCCTTGGTTGATCAAATTTTCCATACCAAGAAAAAACCAATTAATCAAAGGAAACTAACTAAGGGAAAAATAATGAAGTAGAAAAATAGCTTTTGGCCATTAATATTTAAAGTGATCTTGATCTAAAGTCAGTACAACCCTTCATTCAGATTAGACTACTTGACTAAATATCTTATGACCACAGAAAGTAATACAGTAGACCCGCTCTTAACCGAACTCGTATTAACCGATAATCGGATTATCCGCCTTCGGTCGTAAAATAATACAGTGTGTTTTAACTGACCTTGCTTTGAGAGCAGTTCGGTTTAACCGCCGCTTTCTAGGAATCTCGACATTTCCGCTCCCACACTGGGCGATGAGAACTGAACCATACGCTTATCTCTACAGGATATGACTAAGAAAAAGTTATTTTATATTGATCACAAAAAAATAGCATATTGTCAGTTTGTCATCATCGTTCGTAGTGCGAGCTTATCTGATCTAATTTGTTATCTGTGCGGCAAATTTATAACATCGTAAAGTGCGTTACGATTTTGAGAACTGATTATCTTATCGCTGAAGTAAACAAACAACGCAACTTGTAGGGAGGGCAGGGAAGGGGGGTTAACAACTCCAAGGTCAAGATAGTTTTTGTGCCTCGAGCCTCCAGTGAGAGGCTATAAATAAACATCCTGTCTTGTAACAAAATGGTTGCTTGTATCTTTAACTTTGACAAAAGGTTCTGTACTGTATTACAAGGGATTTGGAAAGCATCAATTAATACATTACAGTACGGTACTACATCTTTTTAAATAGGAATTTTTATTGACTCTTGCCTAGTACTATAATATATTCCACAGAAAGTAGGCCTATTTGACTTAACCGTGTTTTGTGTTTATTTGTGACTTTTCTATCAATACGAAAAAGGAGATAAGAGTAGTTTATTTCATCAAGTATGACTTCAAAATAATGATTATATAATTCCAAATGAATAGCACTTCTTTATGTTATTATTTAAGGGACTGCCCGTTTTAACCGACCTTTTGAGTTATCCGACATAGGTCCGGTCCCATTAGGGTCGGTTAATTGGGGGCCTACTGTTGGCCTAAAGTATATTTTCAATCACCAAATAAAAGTTAACTTGCTCTGTGGTCTATTTAGTTTGATTAGCTATTTCCTATGTCATATTAGAGTTGTGATGACACATAAAACTGCAACCTGATTGAGTGGTTGGTTTACCTTCCACATATTATTCTCTGAGTGACTCTAATAATCTCCATTCATACTTGGCTTAAAATACCCACACTTTGTATGGTCGCCATTTCATTGAAAAGTATTAAAGTATTAATTTTTTTAGGGACTTATGTCCCTACATCATATATAGAGTTGTTTAATTTGTGTGAAATAATTGCACCACTATGTGAACAAATATTTTGATAACGTTTTATTTACAAACGAATGAAGAAGTGTACTAAATCATGAAATAGTCAAAACTAAACATTTTAACAATCCAGCAACAGCTGTTAAATAATAAATATTAAAATTAAATAAAGATCAAAGGCATCACAGCTGTGGCTATGTTGACGCCACATCAGCCACCCGCAGAGACTGGAGGACCAGAAAGCTTGAGCTTTTCATTTCGACCAGAACGAGTTGTATAGGTTCTGAACAATGCTGTCGGATTTTGAGGTTTGAGGGGTGTTTTTGAAGGTTGTATATTTTGAGGCTCTTTGTCTCTGATTGTTGGCTGATTACATTTGTCAGGTAACACATATGCAGGCTTCACCCTGTCTAAGCTCACTCGTACTTGTTTGCCATTCTGTGATATTATTAAGGATTTTCCATCACAAGAAATTGCAGGATATGGTCAGTTGTAGGGAGGCTGTAGAGCACGTTTTACAGAGTCATCTCTTATGAATACATTGGTGCATTTTCTATGATCCTGAAATACTGTATAAAGGATTTAGGGTTGACGTGGCATGAAGCCTGGACAGGTCTGATTGAAGACATGTGTTGACGGAGTCATGCCTGGGTCCGTCAACAGGGAGATGAAAAAATTCTCCTGGAAGTCTTAACTGTTGTCCGAAAACAATTTCTGCCGTTGATGCTTGCAGATCCTCGCGGTACGCACTTCTTATACCTAGGAGGACAATCAGGCCAGGATGAATCGTGATGACCATCATGAAGTGAAGCTTTGAGATGACGATGGAATCCTTCCACCAATCTATTGGCACAGGGATAGTAACTGCAAGTCCTGATTCTTTCAGAGCCGAAAGTTGTTCCAAGGGACTTCAAGAGAGATGATTCGAATTGGCAGCCTTGATCAGTAGTTATTCTTGAAGGAGCGCCATTATGAGAAAACCAGCACGTTTTCTTTCACACAAATTAAACATCACTATATGGTGCAACTACTAAAGAAAACTTAAACTCTGTTTTGATAATGCAAAAAAGAAAGCCATTAGAATTATTCTTTACAACCCAGAACTTCAGTTAAAGATTATTTTAAATTAGAAAAAATCATGACTGTTTATGGAATGTATGTTTTTGAAACAGTTTTATCCATAAAAAATTGATTTCAGGAATTTGAGCTAATCGGTAACAATCATGAATATAACAATCAATCAATCATATCATTTAGATTTATCTTTTGGATTTTCACAAATCATTGACAAAGTCAACACATCAGCCTATGTATAGGCCTACGTCATATACATACATACTACACATCTACAATACAATATAGTATAGGATTAAGTATCTAGAGGATGTAAAAATTAAAATGATAAATTAACTTAACTTTTTTTTCTTTTACACTATCTATTAATAAAACATAAAAATATTTAAGAGCTTAGTGAATTCCTTAAAATGAAGGGAAAAAAGAAAAAAATAATGAAATAATATTAATTAGGAATAGTTAAATTCCAACAACAGTAATTAAATACAAACAAAAATTTGTTCAAGTTTTTTTGTCAAGCAATCAACGAGGTTAGACAAATTTGTGCAAATCATTTAAGAAACTAAATTTTAAATACCTCTAAAAATCTCATCTAAAATACAATATAATAATATTAAAAGGTAATAGTAATAGCATAAATAATAATAACTAGAGGTCGTCCAGTGGTCGAAAATTCGACCAAAAATATGTAACCATCACTTAATTTGAAGACAATAATTAAATAACAAATAATTCATTAGTTGATTTGGAATTAGGAATCACATCTCAATTTCACAGTAAATATTCTCTAATGACCAAGTTATTTTATTAAAGTAAGTACTGTATATTTAACTATTGTCATTTAAAAGAATATATTAG